ATCTGAAGCAAAATGCACCTCCCCTCTGTACAGGAGACCAGAGATGAGCAAAATTTTGTTTTTGTACGGCCCTCAAGCTGAGAAAGGTTTTTGTATTTTTAAAGGGTTGCTAAATATGCATATACAAAACAAATCAGCAGCAGAGGACATTTGTGGCTCTGCAAGTTTAAGATATTTATACAGAAAAAGTTTGCCAACCACTGAAGTAGACAAGTGGTTCTCAAAATGTGGACCCTGGACCAGCAGCATCAGCATCATGTGTGAACTAGTTAACAAACGCTGATTTTTGCCTCCCACTTTGAATTAGACTTTCTTGGGGTGGGCCCAGTAATCCCTGTTTTATTAAAATAAGCCTTCCTGGTGATTCTGATACATGCTGAAGTTTGAGAATCACTGCTATAGGCCAATAGTTTAATCTCACCAGATAGTTTCACATGGAAGTAGCCATCCAGTGTAGGTTATAACCAGCTACCAGAGGATATATTTGGGAGAATGCTGTTATTTTCACCCGTGGTTGACATTTACACAATGCAGTCAATAGAAATAGTCCATCTAGTAGTATCAGGGCTCTCCCAAGGTCCTATCAGGACTTTTAGTGTATCCATGCTCAGAATTGTGGGGAAATAGAGATCCTAAAATATTTTAAACTACTATAATAATACTAGATTTGTATTTGCTTTTGAATATTATGAGGCACAGTTAACTATTTAGAGAATTAACTATTCTCTATTTTCATTGTTAGAATACTTTTGTATTTTCAACATTTATTTGAAACCTAGGCACATTTATAACTACAATATACTTTCAAGATTTTCCCAACCAGTTAACTAATGGGTAAATTATAATTTAATCATGTTTTCATGGTTAATATTCTACTTTATGTTAATAAAAATTCATTTGTGTAGTGTGAAATTTTCAGTATTCTTAGTCTTCCTAAGCTTTGAGTAACAGACCTTCTCTCTTCATTTTACAGAGAAGAAAATAAGACCGAGGGTGACTTGCTCATTTTTACTATACACAGTAGCATGACTCTTTTGATTCTGCTACTCTACCCTATCCTGAATATGGCCATATTTTTTTTTTTGGCAGTTTTTGGCCACGGCTGGGTTTGAACCTGCCACCTCCGGCATATGGGGCCAGCGTCCTACTCCTTTGAGCCACAGGTGCCGCCCAATGGCCATAATTTTTTTCACATCTGTTAGCTTTAAAACACAGTTTCTGACCTGTTGGTAATGTCGCTAGTCAACAAGTACAAGAAAGCAAAGCAAAGTTTAAATTTCCTGTGTTAGAAGAAAGAACTATAGTCTCTTTATCTCTCAACGCATGGGGTTTTTTTAAAGCATGTGCGCATGTGCATATGTGCACACGTGTAAGAGCATAAGCAAGTGAGCATGTATGTGGAGAAAGATGAAAAGGTAAGGCAGAGAAGTCATATTTTCTGTGGAACATTTAATACTGTCTGTTTCTAGAGGTGAATCACTGTTGCCATGTATCTTTTGTTCTTTCTTTGCCAAATTATGGACGTTACAATTTATATAAAACCAATTTACAGGGTAAAATTTACATAAGAATAAATAGTAGAAAGGACTATGGAACCATAGGTGTTCTGATAGTTCATTAAGGTTTCTTAACAAAGGAGTGGCTGAAATGAGCTATTTTGAAGAAATGTAGAGATGAGGCTTAAAAAGCACCACTTGGGATTAATATTGACTTATGATGCAGTTTTCACTGGTCCATGAAAGTGATAAGAACATTGTATTATGAGACTGTATATGTATACATATGTATCTTTGTATAAAATTAAACCACTGTCATGGGCAGTGCCTATGGCTCAGTGAGCAGGGCACCGGCCCCATATACCGAGAGTGGCAGGTTCAAACCCGGCCCTGGCCAAACTGCAACAACAAAAAAATAGCCGAGCCTTATGGCAGGGCACCTGTAGTCCCAGCTACTCAGGAGACTAGGGAAGAGAATAGCTTAAGCCCAAGAGCTGGAGGTTGCTGTGAGCTATGACACTACAGCACCCTAAAGGCAACAAAGTGAGACTCTGTCTCTCTTTAAAAAAAAAAAAAAAACACTCTGATCTTCATTCGTACACTTTAATATTTCAAAATGATATCCTAGGTGTATGTGTGTACACATGTGTTTTTGTATCTTCAGATACCTTTTGAATGTACTTTTTAAGCTTTTTCCTAAGCTAACATATTGTCTTAGTCTTTTTTGTGCTACCATAACAAAATTCCTAAGCTGAGTAATTTATAGGGAATAGAAATTTATTTTCTCTCAATTCTGGAGGCTGAGATGGAAGTCAAGGATCTTTGATGTCTGGGGAGGGCCTCACATAGCAGAAAAGGAGGAGCCCTTGTTGCATAATCACCCCTTCAAAAGTCCATCTCTTAATACTATCACATTGGCTACACTTGAATTTTGAAGAGACCCCATTTGAACCATAGCAAATCTGGACTTGCCAAAGGACTGATTTTCTGAGGACTCAGTTGTCTGAGGGTTTGAAAGTAGCAAATTGTGTTGTCATGAGCACAGTTAATTTTCCTTATCTTGAATACTCAATTTATTCTGTTTTTCTCCCTGCCTTTTTGTCTGCCTTTGCCTTCCTCATCTTTCTCTTCTCTCCCTATCTGATTATCTCTCTCCCCTCCTTCCTCTCTGTCCTTTACTGCCTCCGCTTTTTTCATGCCTCCTCTAATCTTCTCTTCCCTCCAATCTGGTTTCATTTTTATTTGTCTAGGGGTAAATGGTCAACAGCCAGCATTTTATGTGTACGTACATGTCTGTTAATCACAATAATTATAATCAATTTAATATAAATGGGAATTTCTAATTTCAAAGATCTGCATCTGGGAAAGCTATCAAAGAATAGTGGGCTTTACATTTCTTATTAAAGAGCACCCGCTTTATGGTGTCCCTAGTGGTGATACTGGCAGTGGTAGTGATAATGATAACAACGTTTTATTGTTATTAACATGACTAATATTTACTGAGTTCTTACCACTTGCCAAATATTGGTTTAAGTATTTGGTTTTCAAAATGTAGCCCACAGCTGCCCAAGACTCTTTCAGAAACCGGAGATCAGAACTATTTTCATAATAATTCTAAGATGCCATTTGCCTTTTGCACTGTGTTGACATTTGCACTGATTACGTGGAAGCAGTGAGTAAATCTGCTGGCTCCTCGGCCTGAATCAAGGCTAATAGGCTTGATAGTCTTCATTGTCAGCACTCTGAGTTTTAAAAAAGTGCCAATTTTAGTTTAGAAAGTCCCTGATAAAGCAGTAAATTTTACTAAATCTTGACCCTTGAGTGCATGTACTTTTAATGTTCTCTGTGACACAATGAGGAAGTATGCATAAAAGACTTTTGGCATGCTGTGTGAGTTGCCAGTTGAATTAGTCACTTTTTTCATAAACCACCGTTTTTATTTAAAAGAAAGAAAAATCGCACTTTGAATGCTGCTAAATTTTCCAATAGAAGTAAACAACAGTTTCTAAGGTTTACCTACCATAGAACCACTCATTGTATAGATTAGAAAAATAGAGCCTAGATATTAAAAGCCAAATCCAAGGTATTATTCTACAAATGCATGATTTATGGCCTCATATTTTAAAGTGCTGTAAATTTCCACATACTTTCATACATACTTTTTCATATGATTCTCCCATAGCACTGTGAGTATATAAAACGGCTGAAACATAAGGAAATTAAGACACAAAGAAGATAATTCTCTGAATGCACTTTATATTTTCCTAGTCTTTCAGCTGTTACTTCTGAGGACCTGAAATAAAGCAGTGCAAATAGAGAGTAAATAGAATCTGTAAAACTTGGCAACTAACTAGATGGAAAAGAAAAGAAAATGAAGGAGTCAGAAAATTCTCAAAAAACTTCAGAAAATTCTCTAAGTTGGTTAACTGAGGAGGGAAACTGACAAGGAATAGATTCTGTTGACAAGTATTTGCTGAAGACCTTTTCATCGGTGGTACTACAGACTGCATCAGAAGATGCTTAGGATGTGTAGACTCTGTGCCTTTTACTGTCTATTTGAGAAACATGACATACATGCCAGTAACTCTAATTCAAGGTAAAAAGTGGTAAGTGCTTTAAGAAAAACTTAGTTCAAGTCCCATACCATTTCACAAGAGGGAAGGAATTACTTCTGGGCTCAGGGAAAATTTTATGGAAGAGGGAGCATTTGAAAAGTGCAGAGACAACAAGTTTGGTTACATAAAAATGGTGAGAGCAGGACAAGGAAGGAGGGATATCTGGTATGGGATGAATATGAATATAGCATATATGTAGGTGGATAATGAGAAATTATTGTTAGTGGAAATAATTATTCCAAATAATTTATTGGAAATGTTGGCCACTATATCAGAAAATAGTAAATGTCCTAATGCTGCTTACATGTTCAGTTTTCCATTTGTTTTATTTTTTGGAGGGATTTTTTTAAATCATAACTGTATATTAATGCATTTATGAGGTACAATGTGCTGATTTGATATATAATGTGAAATGCTTACATCAAACTGGTTAACCATCACCTCACTTACTTGTTGTGGTGATACATTATACTTATGACACTTGCCCAACAAATGTCTTTTTAAGTACAACTTAATATTTACATATAAAATTTCTTCAGTCTTCATCGGCTAGGTTAAGAATTTTAAGTTCAGATAATATAATTGTTCTTTACAGATGTTGGTTTATAGTTTTAGAGAGGGTTGTGCCAAATATTTTACTATGGTCCTATTTTTAACATCTACAGTGACTTAAAGTGACTACACCTGCAGTCTTTAGATAACTGTGTTCTCTTCATACTTGGAAATTCCATCAATCCTTTAAATTGCATTTCATCTGAACTAATTCTCCATGTCTAGCCTCAGATAGCTGAACTTTATCTTCTGGGTTTTTCTTCTCCTTTGTCATTAGTGGTTATTTTTCACTGCAGAATTAATCTGACTTGGATATTTATTACTGTTTCTTCCTTAGATAAGTCAGATAAATATGATCCACGTGATGTTGAAAGGCTTCAGCAAGATGATAACTGGGTTGAAAGTTACTTATGTTGGAGACATTACAGTGTAGATGAAACACTGAAGATGCTCGATGAGAGTTTTCAGTGGAGGAAAGAAATTTCTGTCAATGGTAAGCTGTTCAATTTAACCTTGACTGTAATATTTCCTGCACAAATGTTACTGTTTTACATTAATTATGTCTTTGCACATATTCTTGGCACTCATCATAAACACCAGAATATATTTATAAAGACCCAATAATACTTTCAAAGGAACAGCTTATGAATAAGTCTTATAACTAGGATCATTCATAAGGAAATCAGATCACCAGGGAACAAAACTCACACTCACAGCAGAGTCTCCTGGTCTGTTTTTAGTTCAGTACCGTTAAACAATAGCAAGACAGCCTCTTCAATACTAGGCCTAGAGATAAGGAGGTACTGTTTTCCTGTTTTTCTTAGTAACAATGCGTCTATATATCTTTCTGTATCTCCAGAGGTCTTTGTGCTAATAGGTATTCCATGTAGAATTGCTAAATGAATGGAAGTCTCAAAACAGCAAGCTTATCCCTAGGAAGCTGCAGCAGCACTCTCTTCTTTTTTTTTTTTTTTTTTTT